CCCCCCCCACATAATTACTTAAAATGCACTGGATGTGTAAGCCAGCTAACAAGGACATCAATAAGTCAAATATTTTTTTTGTATTCGATTGTGCTTACTTGCACGCGTAGGTACAGTATTTTTTAGACAAACATATATTAATTCAATTTACCGGAGTTATTGTAAATTCCGCTTTGGCTTGTACATGGTTGAATGGTCATCACAAAGTTGCAGTTTTTAATCACGAAAAGATGGTCGTTAACAATACCCTTTGAGAGGCTAAGAGTATTCTGGGTTGGTCGCCCATTGCATTTCCCACAGCTTTTCGAATAAAAAAATGCATTCAATCAGGCGATGTTTCGATCTTCCAATATGGTTCGTAAGCACATGCATAGTTGAATTAATGGAGTACCTTGGAGCAACTTTACCTCACCGCAATTCTTAATCAACAGGGGCCATACAAAATCTAGTGGGTGGAAAAATCACAGCGCCAGAAATTAGACGTCTTAGTATTTCGACAGGATAGGATATCCCCTCTTCACAAGATATCCCCTCTCTACAGTTGTTTAATTTTTTTGCAGAGCTTTTTGAGGGAACAGACGAGGAAGAAAGCTGGAACTTCAAGATACGTATCGCGCTTTCTTTAAACAGAACTGACGTCCTTCCAGAAAATATGTTCTCTCGTGTTCATTGGAAGGTATTTAGAAAAAAAATAATAAATAGCAACTTTGTTATCAACTGAGTATTTATTTCTTAATGTAGGATAAGAAGGGAATGAAAGAGTTAGTCACCAGGTGTCTCATGGAGAACAACACGGATTTCATTAGTCTACTTGTGGACTCAGGCTTTCCCTTGCACGAATATGTCGATGACAACTTGCTTGCCAAGCTCTATAAGGCGGATTTTACAAGCAATGTACGACAGTGCTACTCGATATCCTTCACCAATAATCTGAAACTCCTACTTCTGACTCACTCTTCTAATTGCCCTTTGTAGGATCCAAGAGCCCAAATCTTCAGGAATTATGTCCGCGCCCTAATAACGGTTTGTTGCAATCCATTTCGAATACGCTTCTGCAAATTTTAGATTCCAAAAATGTTTCGGTGGTCACAAATAGGACAAATTGTAGCTGACATCCTCGGGTTTCAACCTGGAGTACAGCTGACGCCAGCAAAGCCGAGAGTTCGAAGGGTTAATAGTTATGAAGTTCTATTGAATGCGTCAAGTAGTAAGTAATAATTTAATTTTATGAACTTATTTTCTTTGATAGCTCCATAAAGCTTAGTATATTCTGTAGGCAACCAACTTGAATCTTTTCCTGGAGAAGAAAGTCTACTTCAATTACTGATTTGGTCATTCCTTTGTCGTCGTTTCGATCTCTCTCACCTTATTTGGACCCTCATGAAGGATGCCATTTCCGCAGCTCTCATGTTGGCATGCTTTGCAAGGAGAATGCGTTCTCAACAACAATCTCAACGAGAGGTCGACGAACTAGATAAGATGGCTGAGTAGGTTGCCATTTCACTAGTGTGCACGAGCTTACTGTTTGTATTCAAAGCAGATCTTTTGAGAAAAGCCGTTCTCGGCAAGGCCAGAGAGTCGAATTATACATACATTGTGGGAGTGTATTCCTGAAGGAATGGATGTATACAAATATTTGTGTAAGCAGGGAAATAGGTGGGGCAACGCTCCTTTAACCACGACTCTACTTTCAAGTAAAGGACAACCATTGAAATCAGAATTTAAAATTTTCATCCTTAATTATGGACTCAAAGTCGTGTCCAGAGGTATTCGGTCTCCAAATTCATGACTAGCATCATTGAAGCGGCTGATATTAGTTCTTTGAATTTATTGGAATTGGTAAATTCTGTCTAGTAATTGGCAATCTCTGTTACCTTGAATTCAATTACATTCATGTGGATTTCTATAGGTTTCTTTTCTTTGCTTTACGAAAATAAGCGTGCTTTTTATGATACTGGGAAACCAATAAAGGTACTCTCTGTCTCTTTGGTTAAGCATCATTCTGTCTAAAATTCAAGGTAAATGTTTTACATGACAAAGGCACTACTTGATCGTCCTATTTCATTACTTTATCTTCAAGTTGATGGTTAAGAGCCGTTATATCCATTGGGCTTGAAAGATATTCCCAAAAATACTTCACATTTTTCTTTAGGTTCTATGAAATAAGTGCACTAGGAATCCTGGAGGAATGTCATGTGACAGACTCACAGGTCACTTTAACGATGCTCTGTACCATGAGACCTCTCTACGGAAATCTCTCCCAACTCCTCTTAGCCGAGGAAAGCCAATCCATGAACTTCATTGAACACCAAGCCTGCCAAACTTGTATTGATAATATGTGGAATCAGCATCTAAGTTCCACCATTCAGCCTATATCGGTTTGTCCTATATATTTTGGAATTCTATGGAGAAATCAATATTGCTCACAGAGTTACTTTTACTTTGCAGTATTTGATTAGTCTTGCTGCCGGTGTAATCTTACCACCGCTAGTGCCCTTCTTGGTTGATTACAACTATTCTGAATCAAGACGCTCTGAAAAGCATGACCATGGCCTCATAAATTCTAATAAGGTGCGTTCCATTCTTGATATGCGTAAGTATTGATGTCCAATCTAGTTTGCATTATTATTCTAAGTGATTGGATACATAGATTTGAGGAGAGAGGAAAGAGATCAAATGAGGGTGCGATTAAACTAATTTGCTAATATTGCTTCACTTGTCAGTGTGACAAGTCACGCTTGTGCATACGTTATCTCCACAGGATATCATGACGAATATTTACTGTGACCTTAGTGGTCATGGACTCGATACGCATTGGGGCAAATTCACGGGGATAAAAGATCGCTCCCACTGTTCGAATCTGGGCAATAAAGGGAGGTTGCAAGGGCTCCTTTATGCTGCTCATTTTCGCAATATGAGCTTTACCAGACACATACTTAACTGAGCCTGAAAGCTATTTTTCAGGTCTCAAGTTTTGATCTGAACGTCAGTTAGCATTTTTTGTTAAAAAATATGCTTATAAATGCTTTTGATTCTGAACAGAAGGATTTTAGCTCTAATTAAATTTTAGGCCAATGACAAGAGCAGGACTCCTTCCAAGTCAAAGTACAAAACAAAGTTTCTTGACTTTTACCGAGCACCCTGCGTTCGATTCGCCTACAGTGCTGTAAGTAGAAGTGACAAATACCTTTTAGAAGATAAAAAAACATCAGATCACTGATTATTAGCATCCCTATTTGCCTAAGAGAGTTTTTGTGAGCCAGTTCAATTACTTTCATTCAAATCAATATACACGGAACAATTAAATGAACATAGGGCCTTACAACCATTTCTTTCGGGTAGATACTTAAAGTCGTATTGGAGGGGTGTAGGTGGGGGGGGGCGGGGTTGGAGTTTGGTTGACACAATTATTTAACTATTAATGATTTTATTCATTTAAAAATCACCATAAAACTGCAAGTTAGACGCGCCTTTTAGTAGAACATCTATTAATGAAGCCAGAAGATTAATTGGGCTAGCAAGTTTGGCGCTTAGTCCAATTGCTATTCGGTTGAAATAATTTTTATATTTACAGGGTATTTCTTATTAATTTTGTCTTCAGTTTGGATTACCGTGCATAATTTCACATTGAAGAGGATCATTCAATGAAAATGAATAAAAATAACAATACTTTAGTTTAGGATTTAATTTTTCAAAGTGGAAGCAAAGGTTCTGTGTGTACGTGAGATAGGCCCGCATTATCAAACTGGAAATTTATTTTGATATATCTTGACCAACTGGTAATTCCTCGATGTAGTACGTTTCAGTTCTCTTTCTGGGCCTCTATTTCTATTTCCTGCTGGCTGTAAGAACGGATACTGATGTCTCTGTGGTGGAAATTATACTGCACTCTTCGTCTGTTTGTCTCATAGTTCAACATATCGTTTCCGTAAGTTGATCCATAGACGACCTTTAAGAAGCGCTATTTTCCTGAAATGTCTACCATTTTCCTGACTTTAGTCAATAGAAGGCAACAATTCGTTGAAACAGTACTTCAGCAACATCTGGAATAGATTAGTGCTGGTGACAGTGAGCTTCTATATAATTGGCAGTCTGCACTACATTGATTCTCACGTGCGTAGTTTCGATGTTCTTGCAGTTATATCACGTCTCTTCCTCTCATGCTGTCTACTATTTGCCTGCGCCTTCACACTTCACTTCTTTGTGGTCTCGAGATATATCGGTCCAAAACTGATGATGATCATCACCATGGTTAGTTTCCTATGTTTAATATTTACCCTAAAGTATGTGAATACCTTTTAGTAGAGCTTCGACATGGTCATCTTTATGCCACTTTTCCAACAAACTTCGAGATTATTTGCGAGGGTGTGAGTTAGAAATGACTGCTGAAAATGCTATTGAAAAATAGGGAAAAAAACATTTTCGATGAATAGGGTTTTTATTTCAAATGAGCTCTCTCTCTCTGGCAAGAATCCCATTACCTACACGTTCATTAGAGGGCTGACCACTGGTTAGTATTAACTCAAATGCTCACTCGATTTGATTGAAGCATTGTTTGAATCAGACATTTCCTACTCAAGCTACTGTTATTCATCAGTTATGTAGAAATACGGCAAGTAACTGGAACGATACATATTTAGAATGCTGTGTTAAGATACAGGCAGTAGTCCATAATGGCGGCTTCTTACTCACCATTTAGGAGGTAACTAGGCGACGCCAAACAGTACTAGTTTAGTTCAAGTAAATTGATGTGGTGTGATCAGTGTAGCCTTCCAATTTGAATCGAATCAGCATGCAGGCTACTTGACTGACGCGTGCGCGCTAATCATATTGGACTTACATTTTTGTATTCAATGCTTGCAATCGTGAACAGTGATAGAACATTTAGCTTATATCAGATATAAACTTCTTTTTTTTAATGAGAATTTTAACGAGCTAGGTTACAGAAAAATCTTTGATCCATTTTGAATATTTTCTATGCAATTAGGTTATGGCTATATTATATCTAAATTTTATCTACCTATAGACCAAAAGAGACATGCTGCCATACATGGCGATAGTCTGCGTTTTCTGGATGATGTTCAGCCTCTTCACGGTATCCATTATCTTCAAACCCACTGGGACGGTCAGTCTTGAACAACATGGACATAATAGCTTCGTAATTATTCGCAACTTCTTCTTCGCAATGTTTGGGGAATTTAATTTGCCCGATAATGTCTTGGAAATCGGTAAGTCCATACCATATTGCACACATGCTGTGAAAACGAGGGACAGCAGTAACGGTATAGAGATCATTATTGATTGAATACAGAACAGGTCAGAATGGAAATTGGAAGAACCCGATGTTGGGTGGCGATTCATTGCCATTTTCTAACTTTCAGTGACATTGGTGGTTAATTGTGTTCAAGAAGTGAGTCGGCCCAATGCGAGATCCTCATGAAAGCAACTCCTGGTTACCATTCCTCTGTCCATGTCCGGTGTTAAAATCCGCTTTTATGGACATGACTTATGCGTTGTTGTATCCATTTTCAAGTCGAAATCATACCCTATTTTTTAGACTATGATATGATTGTTGGCTTTAAAAGGTCTCTAAAATATATTGCATAGATCAAGCATGTTCAAGTCTCATCATCTCAGAGAAAGTTGTTTACATTTAGAACAAGGTCAAATATCAGTTAGTTCATAAGTTTTCATATGACAGTTTCAAAGAGTATTTAATGAGATTTCTGAATAATTACTAACATAGGTAAATGTAGATTTTGTTTAGCACAAATTTTATTTCTGTGTAATTGTAGAGTCTTATGAGGAGAACTGCCCTCGATTTGGTGACTGTACCTACGCTGGAGCTAAGTACATTTACCCTGTCATCATGATGATCTACGTGCTTCTGACTCACGTTCTTCTTCTTAATCTTCTGATCGGTATGTTCACGTAAGTCCTCCTTTGAGATTGTGGTAGTCACTATGAACGATCAATGTCCTAAAAGTGAAGTATTAGAGGCATCCTCGCCTCCTGGAGCCATTTCCGATCACACTCTTCTCCTCGACCATTATTATGCATCGTTGAAGACCATCCATGCTACTGAATGAGCACAAATAAGTACTGAGAGACGGTCTCATTGGCCAATTCACTGGTAGTCCACTCTTCTTTACCAGTGGCACATCCATCTGTCCACAAGTTAGTGCCTCAGCAACACCCTCTAAATTACATAGGCATTAGCTCTACTTGTAGGCCTACATCAACGAATAGTTCACCTTTGTGCTTAACTTGAGTGAAGTTTGAAGAGGGACTGAATTTCAGCACTTTTGATGTGGGATAAGAATTTTTTATTTATATCAAATGGCAGGTGTTTTGATAGTCATCATTAGTCCTTTAGTTGACTTCAGGGATCACAGAGGGGAAGGAACATCAAAGTCGTAAAAAAGTCGAGAGGGAGGCGGGGAATAGAAGAGTGTTTCAAATATGAAAACGAGACAGACAAAAAGGAAGGAAAAAGGTGAGGTGAGTACTGTGGAAGTAGTCGAATATGACATACAATGGGGTGATGGTAGTTTGAAGTCAGAAGTCAACTGCTGGTTAATAGACTTTTTTACCGTATGAGTATACGTTGCCCAGGGTGCACCACGTGAAAGTAAGTCTATCGTACATCCCTCGGGATAAGAATATTAATTAATTAGTATCGTATTAACTTTGGAATTTCTTGAACATTTAGCAAGCGCTATTCTCGAATGGAACACATTTCAAAACAGCTATGGGCAATGCAAAAATTTGGTTTAGTGAAATCTTTCGCCAGAGCACCACCGATGCCTTTCCCCTACGTTATCGTGTGGCCGTTCTACTCGATTTTCCGTCTCATTTATCGTATCTACCGACGCAAGACTAACACC